CTCCTCTGTGTCGCTGAGGTCCACGTCCTCGATTGCCGGTCCGAGCGCACGCATCTCTCTGCTCAGCGACGAATCGGTAGAGTAGCCGTCCTCCGGCCCACCAGGTGCCTCCAACTCCTCAGTAAGCACCTGCTCGGCTGGGTTGCCGGCAGAGCTGCTAGCGGCGTTGGAGTCGCCCTTATACACTTTGATGTGTATCGCACTGAACCCGAAGTTCAGCACTCCACGAGCAGTCTCGATCGGAGCTACTGACTCCTTGTTCAGGACCAAAACCGCCTGGTTGACATCCCCTTCATGCTCCTCCACCTTGACGACTTGCGGGTCGCATTGTTGCAACATGAAGAGGATGTCCTCAGCGTCTTGATCGCTGCTGGAATCCAGATCCTGGCTCGGGGTCTACTGGGGACATCGCACCAGTCAAGCGCAACGATGTTCGCCCCTTCGTAAACCTCGCCGAGCTTGCTTGTCGCCTCTTTGTACATATCAGCCGACCGCTGACTGTCGCATGCTACCACCTTGACGCTGCCCTGGTACCAGCCCGCGTCCATACAACAGGGCGAGGTGCCTGGCTTCTCTCGTACCATGCGCAAGCAAATGAGGGAAAGGTGGGACTCCACTGCCTTCCACTTGTTTCTAGGGATCCTGCTCTCCGGATTTCCCCTGTCAATCAGGCCGAGTAGTACACGATTCTTCGTGATTTCGGCGAAAGAGACCGATGGCTGGATCTTTGATCTCTTCGCCGATGGCCCGGGTAGTTCGAGGGATCGCTGCCTTTTCGCCTGAGTCGCCTCTTGAGTGGGCTTTTCCTGCCCGTAGTTTGGGAGCATCTTCCTTGCCCACTCTACCTTCTTTAGCCATTCAGGCGAAGGCGTGGCAACGGTGCTCCTGGTGTGTGAGCGCAGAGTCTGGGCGGCAGTCCGCCTTTCTGCGTATGTATATTTTGCACCAGCGGGTGGCCCGAGCGCCTTGGCAGTGCCTACCGTTGCTTTCGGCGCAGATGCGCACGTCGCGGAGGCGTTTGCGGTTGGCTTTCTGCCACCCATCATCCCCAGTTTGGGATGCGGCCCTTTCTGGGCCGTGCTGGTATGGATCCGGGCCCCCAGCCAGGCTGACTCTTGGCACGGTCCGTATTACACCGTAGTCCGGCCCGGAGTGAGATGTTGTTTGGGAGGGGAGTTGGGTAGGTGTTGTGTTGGGAGTGGGTTTGTGTAAAGCAACTATTTAGATGCGGCTGAACAACTCGCATCGTCGGTATTGCTTCGTTGCAAAATACCCGCTGGCTGTCCGGGACTGTTTATTTACTGGGGTTTCCGTCCACGGTACCGTGTTTGACTTATCCCACCAGCTTATTCACAGTTGACCTCGAGAGAGGTCGTCCGCTATCCGCAACCTGCGACCCGCTCGGATGCCCCAGCTAGGCGACTTTGGAACCATCTCACAAGTTCCTCAGCCGAGGAAGCTCAGGAATCTGCACGCCAAATCTCAATAGCCTAGCTCCCATAGTTTCCGAGATCTCAGCGTTCATCCGGACAGACAGACGGACAGACGGACATGGCTAGATCGACTCGGCTAGTGATCCTGATCAAGAATATATATACTTTATGGGGTCGGAAACGCTTCCTTCTGCCTGTTACATACTTTCCGACGAATCTAGTATACCCTTTTACTCTACGAGTGACGGGTATAAAAATAGCTCCCTTTCCATGACTTCTTTGTCGGCGCCCAGCTCTGATATAAATTCAAAAAACTAAATTTCCTAATTCACTATCAGAATGTTCGGGGGCTTCTTAGTAAACTCTCTACGCTTTATATAAATAGTTCAATTTTTGAGGCCAATGTTATTGTACTCACTGAGACCTGGCTTAACCCATCCGTACACGATAGTGAGATTTTGTCTAATAACTTTTTTGTTTATCGGAAGGATCGTCAGACCCGTCGAGGTGGAGGCGTTCTTATTGGAATCAAATCCAATTTAACTTCTGAGTTTGTTAATATTTCTGAATCATCAGGTATTGAATTTATTTCCGTAAAATTATCTTTCCCAAAAAGAAACATTTATTTAACCTGCTCGTATATATCTCCTGGCTCTGAATTTATCGTGTATCTATTGCACCTGTCCGCCATACATTCTATTTCCTTGTTGCTTACTGAAACTGACCAACTTATTGTGCTTGGTGACTTTAATCTTCCCAATATCTCTTGGTTGGAGAGTAAGAACTCATTGGCAATGATTCCTAGGATGCAAAATGATTTTATTGATGGTCTTGTTGAACTATCTTTGCAGCAAGTTAACAGGATTCCCAATGATATTGGTCGTCTTCTTGACTTAATCTTTGTTTTTGATAGTAGCGATGCTGAAGTTAGTCGTATTTCGCCACTATCTTTACCTGAAGATTGTTATCATCCTACCCTTCAGCTCTGTATTAATGGATTTTATAATAATACTAGGACTGCAATAAATGTACAGCCTAGTTTGTGTTTTAAGAGGACTGATTACGGCAGACTAGTGGAATCTTTATCGACAGTAAGCTGGTCCTTTCTAGTTGACCTTCCTGTTGATGATGCAGTTAGGTACTTTTATGAGATCCTTTACCGTCTATTTGAAGAACGTGTCCCTCTTTCCTCCATGAAGAATTCTTACAGCTCTCCATGGCTTACCCGTCAACTATCTTATCTGAAGAATAAAAAAACAAGACTATTTAAACGGTTAAAAATATCCGGCTTACAGACAGACTTCACCAAATATAGCTCAGCTAAGGTGGAATTTGTCCAGTACAATACTGATTGTTACAAAAATTACCTGTCTCGTTGTAAGCGTGATTTCAAAAGTAATCCTAAGCTTTTCTTTTCTTTCGTCAATTCTAAACGAAAATCTAGCTGCTTCCCTCCCTCTCTCTTTCTCAATAATAATGTAGCATCTGACGATAATGATATTTGCAACTTATTCGCAGACTTTTTTCAATCCACTTATACGAAATGCAATAATGTCATTATCAAAGATTATCCAGACCCGCTACCTCATTTGAACTCTATCTTCAAACCAGTGATTGATTTATCTGATGTTCTTCAGAGTCTTAATACTCTCAAGCTCTCATTTTCACCGGCTTCTGATAGAATACCAAGTTGTATACTTAGGAATTGTTCATCTTATCTTGCTCTTCCCTTAACATTGATATTTAATCTGTCCCTAAGTCAATGTAGATTTCCATCCATATGGAAGGAATCCTTTATTATCCCATTGTTTAAAAAAGGGAACAATTCCGATATCTCAAACAATCGCGGTATTGCTAAACTCAGTTCTATTCCTAAACTTTTTGAAAAAATTATTACCTGTCAGTTGCAGCATTATTGCAGGTCTATTATTTCACTTTGTCAGCATGGCTTCACTAGATGTCGCTCTACATCCATTCCAAACCTACTTGAATTTACGTCTTTAATTACTAGAGGTTTTCTGACACATCATCAAACTGATGTGATTTATCCCGATTTCTCTAAAGCTTTTGATTCAGTGAACCATAGGAATCTTATTTATAAATTGTCCCTTTTAGGTTTTCCACCCAACCTACTAGAGTGGATACTTTCCTACCTTTCTAATAGAACTCAAATGGTCTGTTTTAATAATACAATTTCAAAAATAATTAATGTTACTTCTGGAGTGCCACAGGGTAGCCACCTGGGACCTTTACTTTTTGGCTTAATGATTAATGATCTACCTTATGTTGTAAAATCGTCAACTGTTTTAATGTATGCAGATGATGTCAAGCTATGTTTGTCCATGTGTTTACCTAATTCTTGATTCTTGATTGTTTGTATACGTGGTGCATGATTAACATGTTGAATTTGAACTATTCTAAATGTAACTTTATGACCTTTTATCGTTGTAATCCATCTCTGTATTCTTATTCTATCGGTAATAACGCCCTTGAACGTATTTTTTCTGTTCAGGATCTTGGCGTTCTATTTGATCATAATCTTAGTTTTAAAGACCATATATCTACTATAACTAACAAAGCCAGAAGTCTCCTGGCGTTTATGAAGCGCTGGTCAAGGGAGTTTGATGATCCATACACAACAAAGCTTTTGTATGTTTCTCTTGTTCGTCCGTCAATGGAATATTGCTCGTGTATATGGTCACCTCAAATTAGCTGTTACCAAAATATGTTAGAATCCGTTCAAAAACAATTCCTTTTATTTGCTTTGAGAGGTTTAAGCTGGGACACAGGAAGTCGATTGCCCTCTTATCATGCGAGGTTGCGCCTGCTGGACTTACCAACCCTGAACCATCGTAGAAAGTGTCATGGAGTTATGTTTTTGCATAAATTAATTAATGACTCTCCCTTCCTTCTTAGTTCCCTCAACTGGAATGTACCCTGTAGAACAGTTCGTCGTTTTCGTCCGTTGTCCCTGCCAACTTGTAGATCCAATTATGCCCTTCATGATCCTTTTCGGGTTCTTTGTGACGACTATAATGCACTGTGTCACGTCTTACTGTTTAATAGCCCTAATGCAACTAATTATGATAAACTTATGTATTTTCTATCTTCCAATTTCTATGTTACTAGCCATTCTATGTGAGCATGTATTTTAAACTGTCTATTGTTATGTCGTCTTTTTCCATGTCGGCGATTTCGTTTACTTGCCCAAATCGGTTTAGAGCTCCGCGCGTAACAAGCATTGCTTGGTGTCGTAAGGGCCACTTGTTTGTACTGACCATAGTGCATCAACGTCCAAGAAAATGAAAAATATAAACCCCTCAGAAAAGGGGAACAATAAATTCTTTTAGTTATAGCTATACACAAATAAAGATAAGCACACGAGTAATAATAGCACAAAAGTAATGATAATAGATGATAATATAAAAACAATAACAATACGAAAATAATAATAATACACACACAAAAAGAAACACCAACACAAACATTAAGATTAAGGCAAATAGACAATTTAATTATAAGAATCTACAATTTCATGTACATTTAATCCTCTTCTGGCGCTACAAGCGCGTCTACAATCTACGTGGCGGCAACCCTCCATATTTTCAAATGTGATGCACCGGTTGTCCCCTTACAACAAGGTACCGTCTGGAGGACCAATGGCGTTTTCAAACTGGCTCACGTCATCAATCTAGGCCGCATGCAGCAACTCATCGACCAGGTAGCAAACGAGGCTACGATAATCACCGATCAACATATTGGCGCTTTGGTTGGCCACTATCTGCAGCGCGCTTCGGATGGAACCTCGCGCATGGATAGCGCACCAACGCGGAGACAACGCTCAATCGATTGGCTAGGATCAGCCTGGAAGTGGGTCTTGGGATCACCGGACAAATCGGATTGGAATGCCATCTTGAAAGAGGAGGACAGCCTGGTAAGGAACAATAATCAGCAGATTCGAATCAACACTAAGTTGTTTGACTCGACGCACGAATCGCTCCAGAAGCTGAACTTGCCAACTAGGAAAGACTGGAGTGGTCAACACGAATCTCTTGGATCACGACGAGATCAATATGATATTGGCGGAGGTGGACAGCCTGCCTTATCAAAACGTCGTTGAGGCAGTCGAATTTTCCAGACACAATCCTTACAAACGGGACTACTCTTTTGTACATCCTGGCGATGCCCAAGGTAGTAGAGAGGAAGTACCGATTGATGAGGATCTACCCAACGACATCCGACGGTAAACAAGTTGTGCTAAAATACACCACACTGGCGATGGACAGCCTGGAAACATACGCCCTTCTCGGAAATTGTGTATCCATTGGTAACACAGCAGTCTGCCGAGAAAAGGACTTGCTTAAATTGGAGGAGGACAGTTGCATACCCAGACTATTGAAAGGAGGCCAAGCCGAATGTGACTACCTGAGGACCAACCAGGAAACAGTGGAGCTCATCGACGACTTGAATTTGTACCCCTGACCAGCCAAGACCTATCATCTTAAGCAATAAAACCAATTGTATCGTTTAAAAACGTTTACTGTTTTATTTTAAATAAAATCGTAAGATCAAATACAAAGGCTTAGAAGGAAGCAGAGACGAAGCAGTTAACTAAAAGGAAGGAACCGCAATGCAACAGAACCTGATTAGGTAATATCGGGGAGAATCCTCCCCCCTCTATATATATATATATTAAAATAACCTTTTTGTAATTTACTCGAACTATTATTTTCATCTTCTATTTTTATATTCTGCAAAAATATATATTTATATATATACATATACATACTAATAATATTTATAATTTCAGAACTACAAACATGAATAAAAAAATGGAAAATAGTATTTCAGATGGAGCACAAAAAGGTTAGTTGAATACATATAAAATACTATTTTTATATATACTAATAATATTTATATTTTCAGAACTCCAAAACATTAATAAAAAAGAGGTTGGCAAATTTTCTCTTGATTTGTATGATGATGATGATGATGACGACGATGTAATCCTTTATGATGATGATAATCCGGAACCATGTATTCCAAGATCATCTAGTGAGGATGAAACTATTGTTGTTGAGGGTTGTATAGATAACTATGTTCAAACTATACCGTTTAATTTAGGTGAGGATAATGATAAATACATTAAATCAATTCCTTTAAGTGATGATGACAATAAAGTGAATAGATTGGAGGGTGGTATAGATAACTATAATCAAACTATACCACTAAATATAGAAAAAAGTAAGCAAATTGAATGTAATTCCAAGAAAATATTGTAATTGTTCTGTTAAATTAAAATTTTATAATGTTCTGAATTGTAATATTTGGCTTATACATTACCTTACATTTTAACCTTTAAATAAAATGCAATGTTTGTTCTGTTTTATTTACAATTATAGGTTACATTTATTATTTTTCACAATTTAGTAAATTTAATTATAATTCTGTATAAAACATTTCAAATGTACAATCACCTATATTTTTCTTAAATTTTTCTATTTCAATGTCTTGATAATTATTTCTTTTAGGACAATTCTCTATTTCTCTTATTCTTTGTTCATAAACATAAATATTTGAATCTATTTAATTAATTTTATTTTCTAATCTTTTTTCTTCTATTTTATAATGTAAGTATTAATTTTATTGTTTTGTATAAGAACTTTTGTGTCTTTATGACTGAGAACTACTTTTTTACATTTAATTGTTGATAAAAGATGATTTTTAGATCTAATCATTGACATAGAGCCTTCCACTTCCTCTTCCGAAAACAAACATTTTTATTGATTTATTGATCTATTGCACTTCTTTTCACTCTTTTTGATTTTTTCACTGTTTTTTCAGAGTTGTCATTACTATTAGATGTTTTAAAGGCATACATTTTTGATCTCAAACCAACAAATTCAGTCATAGGTCTTCCATTGAGTTCATCCTTAAAAAAAACCAAATTTTTTTTATTGGCTTTAGGAAAATTGTAGAGATTAAGTAATTCGTCAGAATAATCTGATGTATCAAACTTCATCTCAATATCGTTCTGAATATCTTTATAAAAATCTTCAGTTTTAATAGTATATATAAAAGAATCTGTATCCATATAATTTAATTGAACATTTTCATTGTATTTAGGTTTAATATAATTATAATGAAAATCATAAATTTTTCATTTCGATAAATCTAATACAGCAAAACCTAAATATAAAGGTTTGTTGTACAACACATTTAATCTTTTCATTTGAAATGCAAAGAAGTTTTCTGAAAACTGTTTTACACTATGGAAGTTTGACTTTGAAATAAGAGATCTACCACAATCCCTTTTTGGACCAGAAGAATCTGATGGTGAATCACTTTCCCATTCAGTAATTAATTTTATATTAAGGCGTTTGTCCACATTTTCCATCGTTTTTCCATAGACAGCATTATTTAAAAATTAAAAAAAATCTTCTTCAAATGTATTTTTTGCATTAGTTTTATGAAATTTATTCAAATCAATAAATGTTTTTAACCAAGGCTTTTGAAAGAAGCGAAGACCTCTATGAATTTTTGTTAGAATTAATCCAGTTTCTATACACTGTTGAAGATTTTTATAATGAATTATATATTTTTCTTTATCACTCAAATCAGCAATTAATTTTTTTATTTTGTCTGACTTTGTTGGTAACTGATTATTACAACAAAATGGAAGATCCTTGTTTTTATTGTGCAATTTAAAAGGATATTTTAAATCTACCTCAAAAATGTACCCATATTCACTATCATCTGCAATCTATGTAATGTTTATACTATCAAGTTCTCCCATTGAAATCCGTTCAAAACCTCCATATGGTAAAGATTGTGACATAGCCCAACCATACAAATTGTTTGCATCCAAATAAATCAAATTTGATGATTTTTGAGTACTATCAATATTCTCAACATATTTGTTATTTGCTTTAGCATATCTACATGTACATTGTACTAAGCCACCACGAATACCACTTTGAATAAATTTATACTGATCTATATACATGTATATACATACATATGTATTTATGCATGTGTGTGGACGTAAAAAATTGCAATCTAATATCCGCGGCAAATAGAATTCTCTCAAACAAAGCTATTCAACCAAATATTTTGAAATACAGAATGTGCCTTATAATTGTGTATGTTTAGCAAGCATACATAAATATAAATGTTTTTTGTCTATTTTATGTGTTGCTTTCTCATTCTTGGCGCTGGATGAAACAAAAGCAGAGCCGAGAAATGAGAGCAAGGGAGAGAGAAGAAAGTGCGCGGCTAACTTATTTTAAAGTTTGTTATCTGAGTAACGGGTATCTGATAGTCGAGGTACTCGACTATAGCGTTCTTCCTTGTTTTGTTTATTTTCAATACCTTTAACAATAATGGGGAACTGTACTTTAATTCTTTTCACCTCATCCGTAAGAAGGTGTGTAGAGAGTAATTTAAAGAGAACGTCCTGAAGCCGTTGAATATTTTCTTCTAATCGCTCTATATACCTAGTATAAATAACTTTAGAATAGTCCTCGAAGGCTGATTTTAAAAAATTCGCACTTTCAGAGACATCTGCTTGAAGGTTTGCTTCTAATGTAAATATTTTGCTTTTTATAATATCTCAAGCTGTTTAAATCAATATCCGTTTTCTCTGGTCGATTTAAGATATATTTTTTTAGACTTGAACCGCTTCCTCCTCCTCCTCCTCTGGACGACGAGGAATTCGAGCACGAAGGGCTTTCACCAAATATATTAATCTGATTCATTTTATTATATTTGTCTCTCTAGGCTCTTCCACAATGGATATAATTTCGTTTTTGTGATTGGTGTTTCCAGCACTCTCGGATGCTAATAGTAATCGCAATCCTCCTTGGAATAAGATTTTGTTGCTGTTGCTGCTGCTGCTGTTTGTGTTGTAAGCAAACCTTTACCAATAAGTTGTGTTTTCGGTTTGAAAAGATGTTTTATAATATGCTGATATTTAAAGGACTTAGACCCCTTAACTTTAGAACTATTCTGATATTTTCGTTTGTGTGCGTTAGTAGTAGGATCATACGGGAGCTGGCTCACTAGGTAATAACTCATGTCAAAAAAGGGGGTGGGGGTGACCCTAATTAGTCACGCATGGTTGCGCACAGGTTTTTTAATGACCTAATTAGCATGATTAGAAAAATGGGGTGGTGGTGGTGGCGACCCTAATTAGTCACTTAATAAGGTTAGAAAGGGGTGTGTAGGAGTGTGAGAGAGGTGTGTTTTGTCATGTCTTGTTTTGTCTTGTCTTTTTCTCACCCTAAAGGTGTGTCTGTGTGTGTGGGGTGCAGTTGAGATGTGTAGGATTTTGTGGTTGTTTAGAGTGATCTTTACTCGAATTGGGTGTGTAGGAGTGTAAGAGGGGTGTTTTGTCATGCGTATGAATTTGTGATTGCTTGTGTTTGAGGGGCTGCAAATGTCATGTGTAGGATTTTGTGGTTGTTTAGAGTGTTTTTACCCGAATAGGGTGTGTAGGAGTGTAATGGTTGCACACAGTTCACTTAAAGTATGTTGCTTCTAACTTGTATTAAGTTAAGGGAAGGGTAATCTTAAATGTTTCAATTCTATAGTGGAGGTGGTGGTTCCTAACAGAATATACACAAAAATAAATGAGATCGTTTATTTAGTTAAATACGTTTTTATTTAGAGAGGTGTGTTTTGTCATGTCTTGTTTTGTCTTGGCGGCGTGTTTTGTCATGCGTAATTTGTAAAACTATATTTAGGCGGAGGAGGAGGAGGAGGGGAAGTTGTTTTATTATGCGTGGGCGTTTTGTTGATTCAATTAGGGTTGTAGATGACTTCTGTTAGTGTAACCTGTCTACGGTCTTGTGGTCAAAAGGTGTTGGTTTGAGGCATATTAGACCGCATGCTAAGTGTAGGAGGAGAATAGGAGGGGAAGTTTTTTTATTATGCGTGGGCGTTTTGTTGATTCAATTAGGGTTGTAGATGACTTCTGTTAGTGTAACCTGTCTACGGTCTTGTGGTCAAATGGTGTTGGTTTGAGGGATATTAGACCGCATACTTTTGTGGTGTGAAACAAGCGTGAGTTCGATATCCTCCCCCTGGTTAGCGAGCATTAGATGGGAAAGTCAGCGTAGGAGTGTAAGAGGGTGGTGGTGGTGGTGGTTTTCCTAACAGAATATACACGAAAACAAATGAGATCGTTTATTTAGTCAAATACGTTTTTATTTAATCATATTCACGTTAAATTAGTTTCCATTGAGTTTTTAAAATAAATTAATGTATCATTCCATTTTCTTCCTTCTTTTCAACATGCATACACCTGCAAGTGTCAGGTCCAACTTTACAATTATCATATGCCCATGCACAGGACGATAGGTGTTCTCCATACTTTGAATGAATTACTGGGGTGGCTTCTACATCTTTAAAAAATGTATGAAATGATTTCAATTTCGAAACATGTTCCTTGAAGATCTCACTCCCATGCTCCTTTAAGAACTCTTCAATTTTTGAGGAACTCATTTTTTCTTTCAACGTAATAGTCTGAATGTTTATCTTAAGCTAAAGTTTGGTAGAGATAAATCATTGTATTATACTTAGAAAACAGATGTTAAAAAATGCAAAAGCTGATGATAGACCCACCCTCAAAAACAATTTCAAAACAATAGAAACATTTTTTTTTTGGTTTTCTCTTCATTTTAGAATTTCAATATATGATGAAATTAATTTTCTAACTCTATATTGTTGAAATACAAAATGAAAGCAAGCACAAGTTTCTATATTATCATAAGAAAATTTACATACATTTAAATGTTCTCCAAATGTTGTTTTTATAAACTCCTTTACGTCAATACCCATGAACATGTTCCTTGACTCCAGTAGTAATTTCAAGTCCTATTTTTAAGTCATATTTCCAAATGTATAAATAAATAAATTAATTTTATTTAAAAAAGAAGAATAAGTCGGTATATTAAGATTGTTATTAGAATCAGGCATTTCGAAAACTTCTTTTCCCGACTCTCAAAATGTGAATGAATGGTGAAAAGGTGTTTAGGAGTATTCGTTTGTGTAAAGGTTTTTAAATTTTATGAGCATTGTTCAGAGAGCAGACACCATTCCGAGCATGTAATGAACAATACGGAAAGTGATTTCCATTCATTATTTTTAGAGAGGGACAACCAATTTAATCAATGTCAATTGTATCATCAATTTTTAAAAATTTTTTTAGGAATAACCTTTTGTTGATATCCCTTACAAATTATTTCCTTTTTTCTAATTATTT